GAACCTTATCAGAGGGAATTGGGTCTCTTGGTAGTCAGTAGGCGTGACTGGGCTGGTTTGGTTCTGCCCTTCAGGGAGCTGAGGGTGACCATGTACCATGATGTCTACAGTCGCCCTGCTGTCAACTCGTATATCCATTAGCTGCCTTTTACATATATAAAGTGAGGTGTATAGGCACACATGAGGGCACATAATAGAGAAGAGCAATGGCACAGGCACCTATAATGGAATTTATCCCTTGTCCACACTTGAGTGACTCTAAGAGGGGCTATAAATAAGCAGTAATATGCATGTAGGGTAAGTCAAGGCGGAAGTCAGTGCAGAGATAAGACTTCACACATCTTGACCTTAAAAGAAGCAGCTCAAAGTCAAAACCACCCAGTCAAAATAAGTCAAGAAAATGAGTAAGTGCATGTATTATTAGGGCCCGAAGGCCCTATTGTATTTTAAGGAATTATTATTCCTCCCAAACAAACGCATATTTGGAGGCCGCAACATGCTCGAAAAACTCATGAAACACGTCATGTCGGTCGGGGTGAAAAATGTGGTATTTCCTAGGGGTCCACTATGAGCATGGCAAAATGGCCCCTCAGGAGACCATAAACTGTACCACCCGGGGCCCCTTTCACTGATATGCAGAAAAATCGGCACATGCGTAGATCTTATCCTGACTTACAAAAACTCCAATGGAAGCCATATCCCTAACCCAACAGGAAGTCGGCCATTTGGGATTTAGCTGTCATTGCTGGCAATTTGCACATCGGATTGACTTTAAATTTAATCAAAAGGAAGTTGTCATAACTTCTGTGTACATGATCCGATCTCAACGCAAAACTTCACGTTTGAACACGTCAATGTGATAATATTCAGTAACAGTGAGAGAGCCACCTAGTGGTGAAAAGAAATTTAATTTTTTATACTTCCATGTTCTGCTCCTAGCAGGTTGATCAGATCCATGTGAAAATTTGTCAGAAAATGCAAAACATGTTGTTGATGATATGTTATGATTCTGGTGAGTTTTTGTTAAAGGGTGTGTCTGCGGTGTGGCGTCAAATTTTTATGTACTGCCAGAACACACAAATTTGCTACAACTTGAGTGTACATTGTCCATTCGGCTCCAAACTTCACGTCCCGCCCTGAACACATCTATGTGATAATATTCAGTAATAGTGATAGCGCCACCTAGTGGTGAAAGGAAATGTCATTTTTATACTTTTATGTATGTCTTCCAAAAAAGCCTCAAGGACTCATAACCCCAAACCCAAGAGGAACTCGGCCATTTGTTTTGGTTTTTTTTGGTCTTCGATTTTGATCTGATTTATGTGAAATTTTCCTGTTGTGGTCTGCATGTGACACGGCAGCAGCACACCCTGATTCACCCCGAGTGCGAGGGCCAGTTCATCACTGCTTGCAGTTAGTTTTTTTTTTTTTATCATACTGAATATACAATTCCTAATTGACTCGTATATTTTAATAATATACATATATTTATATTTGGTCTTCACCTAACTATGTTATGTTTTGTTACAATGTGCAGTACATCATGATGGTGCCATTCATATTTTCTTCTTTCACATTTTCACCTGATATGACATTTCATAATTGAGTTTCTAACAAAAAGCAGAGTAATATATATTGACGTGGGTAGATACAAAATTATTTTTGGAGTTGTGTGTGATGCAGCCAAATGTCACTGTTGACTGATCTTGTGTTTCATTCAAGTGAATTCCTTCTTTCAGTTGATGAGGTTGCCAAACAACAGAGGTGACCATGAGGCTAAAGGAAGCCCTGCCAAGTGTTTTACTTTGATGGATAAATAAAGGTGTCATGAGCATCTTAAATATTTATCCTCTGCTGCCCTATCCAGTGAAAGGTGACATAAAGTGCAGACAGTGACTTGGAGTGAAATAAAGTCACAGATAATTATCAAATGCTCATTGGTGTAGTCAGTTGATTGCAGGCCTGCATTGCATGCTCACAGAAGTGATTTCCTGAAACTTCATATACGTAAATTTGATGAATTGTCAGGAGTCATTCTTTTACTCTTAAATAAGAATGAAGAACAGAATGTCAATATGAAAAAACTCCTGTTTAGGTTTGGATGTGGAGCCCTTTATTTGTGTGGGTCAGTTTAAAGCCCATTTGGATTTGGAATAAGCTGTGCTTGGTCTTGGACTTTGGTGGTCTTGACGACAACTCTGCTGTGCTGTGACTCTGCTCAAAATTTTGCACAAAAAACTGCTACAGTATGCTAAACTATTTGGTTTGGTTGCTAATTGGTCAAATTTGCAGAAAGGTTGTGGTGATTGGACAAAGGTTGTGCAGAAATTACAGGGATTGGTACATTTGCGTTAATTGTTGCCATCGAAACATTGCAGCTTCCTGGAGGGACTGTTGCCACCGTGACCCAAACCCTGGTAAGGGTTTCTTGTCAAATCTATCATAATGCATTGTGTCAGCTGTGCCAGAATCTCCCAGTTTTTATTAAAAACTAAGATTTTTAGCTGGATGGATTTTTGAAAAAGATTAAATACTGGATTCAGATTTGATCAAATGCTATTGAAGCCCACGCCACCTATACAGAATGTCAAAGCAGCATTCTACTTGTATTTCTAAAGTTTTACCAACAGTTCTTCTTGAGCTGGATCTTTGAGCACTCTTTTCCACCCCTGAGGCACATGTAAATAATTCACACAATACAATGTTGTTCCACTCAGCGACATGAGAAAGAGAATAAACACCAGGTATCATGTGGGTCCTCTGGCTTTAACCAGGATTTGCTCGTACCGCGACCTTTTCAGTGACTGCAGAGCTGGGGGGGAGTGGGGGGATTACCATGTCTTAACTAGCTGCTAGATCAATATGACTTCCACTGAAGAGCGGTCAGCACAGACCACCCACCCCCAACCCTATCCACAGTGTCATCCCCATTGTATTACCACGCTGTCTTACCCACCTAACAAACAACCCCATCAGCATCTCAGAGGTCATCATGCTAACCTCTTTACACTTTACACCGCTATCTCTGACACTCACCAGCCATACCCCCCCCAGCCCAGGGCCCAATTAAAACACTTGCTCTGCTTTGTCGTTGTTGAAAAAATTGCAGACGCTCCGAGGCTTGATCCTTCCAGTAAAACACGTCTCAGCTGGGGCCCCTGCCGAAAGGTCCACAAAGGTGCTGAAACACGGATGATGCCATCAATTATTTAGCAAAAGGTGAATATTTCACATATACTGGGAATACAGGTCAGGTCCTGTGGATGTTTGCAGGATAAATATTTAAAGATCAATATTTTATGGGTGTGAAAGAGAACGGGGAGGCCTTGGGGAAATAGCGGGGAAGTACGGATGAAAGGCAAATAGTGACTTAGAGGGGAATCAGAAGGCACTTAGTTTCACCATAAAATATATTCTGTAACAGAGACTGAGGTGTGTTCTGCTTTTGAATTAAATATCTTCAAGTGCCTTTAAAGTTAGAGAAAAGGATCATGGATTGGGGTTTTTGCAGCCTATTTTTCCCCATTCGTTTTCAAAAGGAAGCATTACCTCCATGTATTATTGATGATTAGATAGTCTTTTCAAAGCAATCTAATGAAGCCGAGGCCAGGGTGTGAGGCTGAATATCCCATACCACCGACTGAAAGAAGGGGATAAAGTGTTTCCTCATCTCGTTCAGCTTTGTCTCAGGTTTTGTGTCACTTAATATTGGCCAGGTGTTGAGAGATTTATCTGCACGTAGTTGTGCAGATTCTCACCTTCAAACTTAATTAGGAATCAAATTGATTGGATCAAGAGCAGATGTGCTTCTCGAGCTAGAGGTAATCTGAACGAACACAGTTATAACACAGATACGGGTTATTTGTTCAGTTTTTCACTCTCCGTCGCAGATGCCTTAATCCACTTCCCCTTTTAATTTCACTTTGTAAAGCATCTATTGTCCTGACTGTTTGTTTAAGTGGTGGTGTTTATTTGGGGGATAATTTCTTGGAGGTGGAGTGGACGGGTGTATTAAGGGTACTTTTGAACTGCTGTTAAACACCTGCATTCACACAGAAGCCTGCACACCTTTACTACGCAGTATAGTCATTATTTACCTTCTATAGACCTAATAAAGCCCTACACATATTACATGCCAGCATATCTATTACTCATATATATTTATATATAATGAATTTCTTTGTTTGGGAGCACATGATAAATGCATAAAATTAGTTATGTTAGGATTAGGATATTTGTATTTTGCGAAGGCATAATGTGGCCAAAAGTTTATTTTGCCATATGTGTTCCCAAAATAGCTTGTTTTGAGGACTTAGGTTTCCAATTTTTTTCGAGTCTTTCTTAAAGGGGACATATTATGCAAAACCAACTTTTTAATCATTTTATTATGTACATTTGGGAAACTGGAGGGCCTATCAGCAGGCAAAGTTTGAAAAAAAATGACTCAGTCATGTTTTTGTGGGCTGCCTCAGTCAGAATATAGGAGACAAATCACGAACTTTCAGAGGTTTGTAGTTTGTGACGTAACCTGCTGCACTCATTAGCATATTCCAACCTTTCACCTGCCTGTTGCCACCCACCTCAGCTTACTCTGCCTTGTCTATCCGTGCTCCGCCATTGTCCCTACGAGCGAGAGAGCGAGCAGACATGCATCAGGGAAGGCAACACAAATGTTCTGTGCTGGGCTGCACAGAACAGCACAAAGCTGTACACACTATCCCCGTCTCAGAAGAGATACGAGTCCAGTGGATTCATTTTATTTACAATGGAAATGTTCCGGCTAGAGTTGGCAAAAAGCTGTTGGTGTGTGCTAACCACTTCACCATTGACCTCGGTCAGTACAATAAGGGACTGGCCAAAAGACTGTTGCTGATAGAGGGAGCAGTACCAACAACTATAAACAAGGTCCGAGCTAATTCAGAATAGCGGGTACTATAATGTGATATCTCCAGTAAGACTGAGACACTTCCAGGTATTACTGACTACTAAGAACTTGCATCATGGTTGATGATTACTGTCGCACAACACACTTTGGAGAGCTACAGTACAGAGTCTGTTTTAAACTGAACTAGCTGGGCACAATAACAGGACGCTATTGTTCAATGTGAAAAGCTAGTTAGCTAGCAGCTGACAGTCATTGTTAATCTGCGGATAAAATCACAAGAAACAAAAAGATCAACCAAGAGACAGTTATTTGCTTTTACTGTATTTTCTGAGTATTAATATCACTGCTCTTTGTGTTTAGGCAAGCACATCTGGACTGCTGGATAGGGTACATCATGTGGCAATTCAGACAGACCCACCAACAACACGCTCATTTGGAACTCAGCTTTCAATGAAGACTCTCCAACCTCATTTCAGAAGTACAGGTTAGTTGACCAAAAGTTACTTCATTCGTTGATGTGATTTCTTCTGTTTGTGTTCTGTTAATGAGTAACAATATGATTGCTTATCATTTTAGAATTCTGCATAAACAATAACATCATCTGTCTGTTTTTAAGGCAGACAGAAAACTGTTTCCTGCACTGATGTTGGTGTTGGCACCTCAGCTCTTCTGCCGTTTCTTACATCAACACCAAGGAAGAGACCAAGTAAGAGACGTCGCTTGGAACTGGAGGAGGAGGAAGAGGAGAACCCTTTAGAAGGCAGTTCTGTTGACGTAGAGGAGCCACATGATTCAACTTATGACCCTGCAGACTCTGCCACAACCTTGACTGAGTCAGCAGATGTGACGTGAGTTACCTAAACATTTTACCAATCATTTGTGTTACATTCCTCTACTTATTGTAGCTCTACTAGGATGATCTTTGACTCATTTTCTGTCAATGTTTTGTTTTTATTGCAGAATGGAATCTTCTAGCCCTGTCCATAAGACTCCAACTTATATTGTGTATGAGAACTGCCTAATGGAGCTGTTTCAGGTGTGCCCTGTGTGTCAGCGGGAATGTGACATGCAGAAAAGAAGATTGGGCACGTTTCTCTCTGTAGAACAGCGGTGTCCGCATTGTGAGTTCTACAGAAAGTGGAACAGCCAGCCTCTTGTTGGGAGCACTCCTGCTGGGAACCTGCAGCTGTCCACTGCAGTGTACGCCACTGGTGCCTCTTTCTTTAAGCTTGAAAAGGTATTGTATTTACACTAAACTATGAATAAAGTAATGGAATATAGCATATGATGTAGCTACATTTATATACACAATGTGTATTTCTGAAAAAGTGATTAACGTGTGGGTGCCTGTCCTGTCTGTTTCTTTCTCCCACAGATCTTCCGGGCAATGCAGTTGAAGATGTTTCAATATGACTCATTTCGAAGGCGTCAGATGTACATAGAGCCCGCGATTGTACACAGGTGGAAGACGGCACAGACTGCAATGTTGGCGCAGCTCAGTCAGCAGCAGAATGTCGTCCTCGGTGGTGACTTGAGAGCAGACTCACCAGTTATGTAATACTCTGTCAATAATCTTTTTTATATATAAACAAATTTACTTGAAAATAAATAAAACACACTGATAAATACTATGTAATGTATATATAAAAAATAATTACTTTACTTTTGAAGGACATTGTGCCAAGTTTGGCAGCTACACAATGATGGACATGAGGAGCAACACTGTTATTGATTTACAGCTGGTTCAAGTGAGTGACAGACCATAAATAATCTCTGTTGTAATCTGTTACAGTGTAGCTCTTATCAGCTGAAATAATACATTTTTATCTGCTTTCTTAAATAATAGAGTAATGAGGTTGGTGGAAGCTACCACATGGAGAAAGAGGGCCTGAAGAGGAGCCTTGCTCTGTTGGAGGAACGGGGTGTTACTATAGATAGTATTGTGACGGACCGTCACCCCCAAATCCAGAAGTTCCTGAGGGAGGCTGATGTCACGCATTACTACGATGTGTGGCACATGGAAAAAGGTATTATTCCGTGTCTTATTTGTCAACATGAGAGGGGAAAAAAGTTTATTTATGATAAGTGTAGTTCCTTTATTGTTACACTGACAGTTATTGATGTGTAGCCTATTATTTCAATTTAGACTGTAAGCTATATCATTTCTGCTATGTTAATTCAAAGTAATATGGTGGTTTACTATGTAATTAATATATGTGAAAGACTTTAAAGCTTTTTGTATTATTAGGACCAGAACAGCAAAGTGGATGTCCATTCTGAACCACGTCCGGGACATCCACAACCATGAAGATCCTGTTTTCCCCCAGTGTTTGCATCCAACCCGCACTTCAAGGGACAAGAGCAAATGGTTGACAACAGGTATGTACACATTATCATGTTTAGGCAGTGTCACTCTACGTAATGACATTATTAAACACTTTCTTCTTTTTCACAGGAACACCAGCCTTCTGCAGGATGGAGAAAGTGCTGAGCAACAAGAGGGTCCTCAAAGATGTGGGGAAGCTGAGCCCTCATTACCAAACCTCATCTCTTGAGTCTTTTCACAGCGTCATCCTACGCTTTGCGCCCAAGAATGTAGTCTTTCCTTTTCTTGGAATGCTGTGCAGGTAAAGAGGGGCTTTTTTTATCATTACAATTATTCGTATGCACATACAGCCACACCAAAATAAGCCAGGTATGGAGCTATATGTGTAAATCTTTCTTTTATTATTTTTCCTCCCAAGACTATACCTGGCAGCCCTGCACTTCAATGAAAATGCAGACCGTCCACAGGCAACAACCTCAGCTGGTGAGCCGCTGTTCAGGCTTCATTTTCCAAAGTGGAAGAAAGGAGAATGCACAGCAAAGCCAGTGAAGCAACCAACCTTCCGTAAGTTTTAAACCTTTTTATTGAAAATCACACTGAAAAATTAAACTATAAAATATTTGTAAAATAAATAAAATATAAATTAACCAGTGTCTATGGCTTTTTCTGTGTTTTTAATAAATAATAAATAAACACTATAAAGTAAAAACAATATTGTACTTTTTCTTGTTGCAGATTACGTGGATGAAATCTTGGACCTGGTGTTTGAGAAGGTTTTTCCGGACCCTGGTCCATATACAGATGAGGTGTTGAAGATCTCCATTCCTGAGGATCTCACTGCACAGTTCGAAAGGCCGGACAAGAAGGAGGTGATAGACCACTACGTGACGAGGTTCAGTCAAGGGCCGGTCTGAACCCCACATAGATGCCTTGAGCGTCGGGGAACTCCGCCCGTATACGCAGCACCACACAGCTGGGCAGTACCACGCGAATTCTTCGGCCCAGAAAGCCCCAACACCAGCTCACAAAGCCCCTATAGGCCAAGTACCTGTAACGGCTGAACAGAGTACAGATATATTTAGTTTTACATTTATATTTAGACATAATTTATGATTAGCCACATTTTTTTGTAAATATTTGTATTACGTATTTTTTGAACAGTTGTTTGCTGTACTTGTATTCATAAAAATAAAACTGTATAAGCTGTTTTTTGTACTTTCAGTGTTTGATATGTGGACATAAACATTATGGTCATTAAGAGACAGGTTCTTAGGAGTGGGATGAGTATCCAAAAGTATGAAAGATAAATTCCTGCACAATATCAAAATGCCAATACCACCATTTATTAGCAGCAAATTGGTGTTGGACCTAGGTTTAAATGTAATAAATTATGTTATTGCAAGTTAGATTTTGTGCAGAAATGAATCTTTTCTAGTGTTTGATATGTAACATTTTAACAATTATCAAACTGCCTTACAAGAAAAGTAAGCAATCTAACAAAGGGGAAAATTGAATTGTTTTTGGAATATTTTTATTACAATTACACAGAATTTATATGCAAAAAAAACTTACTGTTCTATTCCCCTCAGACGTAAACGCCCATAGTCTGCTCTGTAGATATTTAGTTCCTTCTGCAGTGAGAATGCATTTAAACACACTGGTTCAAGGCCAGGGTAGTCTACCCTGCAGGAAGGTGGGTTTTGAAGCTGATGTAGTCTTCTTATCACCTGTAAATTTGAAAGGGTAAGTGACGTTTGATGACAGATAATATGACTGAATAGTTACATTTTCATTCAACAAGCATCCATGTACTGCCTGTGGTACCTCCCTGCAGCAGACATTCTCTGGCTCTGTAGGCATTGTTGTGCAATTCTCACAAGTACACCTAAACCAGAGGCAAAAAAAGGGAAAAGATATCAGTTATAGTTTTTTATTTGAATATGTTGTTAGCAATAACGACAGGTCAGCGTATGCAACGATGTGACGTTATTAGTTGGAATTGTTGCATCATGTTGAAACACAGTAAATACGGGTAAACAGGAATTACTATGGGGTATACGGCGCTGGTAGACAGTCGCCCCAACCCCCACTACATCCCCCGTTTCACACCTAGGTTGTAAAATTAGCACACACGCGTGAAAAGTGGCTACAGTGTGTCTGTGGATAGAACATTAACGTTTGATGTCGGACAGAATAATGATGTAACATTACGGCGTAGCTGAGAATAAAAAAACGAGTGCTATATTCCCACTCGTAGCTGATATTGCGGACTTGTGAAATGTACTCGTGTAACGGGAATAGCATGCTACTTATGTTTACTCAATTAACAGAAATCTAGATTTTTATTAGCAGTGAGTTACACAAACAGCGGCCAGCGGTCGACCGTATTTAGTCAGCGACCGTATTTACCCGACGTACAAACATACACATTTTTAAGAAAAAAGTAAAATAAAGCTCATAACTCACCATTCAGAAACGTCTTGTTGCAGTCTACATTGAACAACTTCTTCGCTAGCTCCTTCTTGTTCAGGGTCTGACTCTGGTTCAAACATATAAGGTTGGACCGAAAAGTTTCTTCCAGCTGCCATCTTTCTCCCAGGGTTCACGTTCAACTGTTGTCATGGTAGCGTGAGCGTGCCGACGTCGCATGTCACAGACATTACATTAGGACACCAGGGAACTAGATTAACTTGTTGAAATAGGGTATAATATGACTCCTTTAAAATAAAAATAATTTCATTACCATATCAAAGTTGATGTGATTTGTCCTCCTGTCCACAGTGGCTACAAAGGGCTCTCTTTCCAAACCAATTTCAGTGTAACATACTGGCTACATTAAACATTGAATATATGCAAACAGTTTGCGAAGCAGCTGCTGCAACATTACACTTCCACTATGATCAATGAAACTCACCAGTTCTTTATAGTTTATAAGAATGCATTGCAGGGAGACGAGTGTATGTAATGCGGCTCTATCTATTTGTCACTGTTAACAAACTCCAGTCTGCAGAGCAGCTCATAAACTGCACTGATAAACCACAGAATAGTGGAGTAACATTAGGATTCATGATCAAAGTAAGATCATGTTCCACATTTGCACGCTCCCTCACTTGCTCACATCGACTCTGCATCACACTTTTTTTGTTAATGGTTTTAATAATGTCTGCTTTAAGCGGTTGCTGCAGCCCTATGTCATATGTGTGCAAGGCTGGGGCAGGTGGGTGGGACAAAATATGCAGTCCTTGTTTTGTGCAAAATTCACTTTGAAACCTTTTTCCACCTGTTCCCAGTCTTTATTATGACCAAGGGCTCCATTTCTTTGTTGTCAACCAAACCAGTTCCACAAGAAAGCATAGGGTCTTTCTCTGGGTTTGCTCAGTTTGGTTGCCTCTGAAACCTCTTGCTTGAAAGTCCTCTGGGATCTTTATACATGCTGAGTGTGTGCTCCTGCTGAAGAACCTCTCTGTTGGTTGACTTGATAGTGTATATACCCATATTGCCTAAGTCTGTGGTAGGGGCAACTGGAATCACTCAGAATTCATACTTTTATGTCTGACCTATCAGCATATTATGGGAAGTAGCCGTTCCACATTTCATCTGCAAACACAGGATGTTTTCACTGTCAATTGACCTCTAACAGTACAAAGACTCATCCTCTCCTCCTCCAAGTAGCACCAAACCGTCCTGGGAATCATTGACATCAAAGACAACCAAGCTGTCTGCACGTGTCCTTAACAAGACACACTGCAGTTTGGAAGAAAGAATAACTTAAGAAATTTAGGAATAGGATAAGATTTTATCACTCTCTGGATAAGTGTACACGTGGTTCAGAAAAAAGGTTTGTCTAGGATGTCGATTAGAGCGCACTATATTGTATGTGTATCCACAGGTATACACTATGGCTTATATCCCTTCTGTGCAATGGGATTTACTGTATACTTGCGTAAAAACAGCTATAGATAAATATCAGCACACATCTTACAGAGTAAGGCAGATAATCATGTTAAAGTCTTTCATGTAATCTGTGGTGTTTACACAGAGACAAGCCTCTAAGGCAGGGCCTTGTGGTTGAGGAAAGTTGTAACATTGCAATATAAAAATACTTCATTAGTTTCAGTTTAGTTTATTTAGAGAAGGGACAGTGCAAATTAATAAATACATAGTGAAAAAATGCAGTGATTAGCTGAAAGGCCATTTTTTCCATCTGTAGTACCTGGCCATTTTGTTAAAGAGGCTTCATAAGAGACAAAGCACAAACAAAATAGGGCATGTAGTTTTAAGATGGAAGGAGGACACACAAATGTCAGAAAAAGTAAGAGCAGTATTGAAATATATACATATGGAACCACATTTGTAGGGTTAGGGAGGACATATAGATGTACACATATAGACAGCAGCAAAAGAGTTCAGTGCTGATGTGTATGTATTAACCATCCATAGTTTTAATTGGTTACTGAAAGATCTATAAGTGTTTAGTTGTCTGATGTAATTTGGAGTTATATTCCACTCTCTTGAACATCTGACAAACCATGCTGACTGGCTAAAGGCTTTTTTCTGCAACAGACTAGTGCAATCTTATAGACACCTCTAGTGTCACAATGCGTGTTTTTCTGTTGATATAGTGAGCAGTGAAGCTGTAACTCATGTTGGGATCCAAGGATACCTTTAATTATGAACTTGTTCATTTGAAGTATTTTTCTGGACCAAAAGGGAAATGTTGGAATATGGCCACGCAGCGCACCCGCAACTCTTTTTCATCTCCATTGGACTGCTGGTAACGTACTGGGCATAGACAGACAACTTAACAGAGTTAACGGCTAAACAAGGACTGTTTAATTATTGTTGCTGATGTGTTTTATTCAGGTTACTGTGGTATTGTGATGTTAATGTGATTGACTGAGGTTACGGTAGTAACTGTAGTCTTTGAGACAGTGCTAAGGTGATCTTAGTTTAATGCTTCACATATTCGGTCTAAGTACATACACGTGGAGAGGGATTCAAAAGCTCCCGCCTCTCTATTGCTCTGTCTCTTACCAACACGTGTTTCACACCCTGAAAAGTCTGGTCGGAGGACACAGGACATAAGCCTTTTATGACCCCCATAAACACACACACACACACACACGCACACGCACACACACACACTCCTTTAGTTATTTCAAATTAGATTGTATATTGTGTATTTTTCCTCTGTTTGCTTATGCCGGCCTATTTAATTTCGTACAAGAGTGAGTGATACCAACCTCTTCTATGTAGAACTCCAAAGCTCCCACTCTCGCTATGATTAATTTTGGTTGTAATTATTAATTTAATTATTAATCTGATTTCTGAATTAATAGTTTAGTGTAATTTTTGTGAGACTGATCAATCGATTATTGGTTATCGTTCCCTTATTTAAGGGTGGTGCCCTGAGGAACTTTAATATTAATTAAAGTCATTTTCTATTATCTTTTGATAATTATAATTTTTGATAACCATTAACTGATTAAACTATTACAGTTAGACCACTCTAATACCCTACGTCCTAGAGCCCGACACTCATGAGTGAGTTTATATACAGTAGCAAGCACAAGTTCACTTATCTTATTAGGTCATCAAAGATAGAATTACAAGTAAAAATGTACAAAAAAAATGTCCTTTAAATATGTATATTACTACTAATGGAATAATGTGGAGGCAGCATTCTACTGCTGTAGCTGGTTAAAGCTGCAGTAGGTAACTAAAAAAAATAACCATTTGTCATCATTGCTCATTGTCTCATGTACTCCTGGACAGGAGTTAAAACATGAATAAAAACTACCAATCAGCCGAGAAACTAAGTTGCTTTGGGTTGGAAGCTTGAAGATAGTTGATTGTTGAGTTTCATTCTCAGGGTCCTAAAGCATCTGAATTTGACGCCCTGGTAATGAGATTCATTCCTTATCTTTCTCGCCTCTGACTTGGTTGTTTTAATTGAGGCCCGGTGGATTCTTGCAAATGCGATTAGAAGCACTAGGAGGATCCAAAGGAACCAGATTTTCTGTCTCATGTAGTACTGTCAGAACATAGTGAAAATTTCAGCAATCATGACAAAAAGTTACCAACTGCTTATTACCTACTGCAGCTTTAAGGTGTGTGTATGATTTGCAAAGTTGGACCCAAACGCAGACACAAACTTAGGAATAAGATAAATGAAGAGGATTTACAGCAGGAGTAGCGGGGTATGGAAGTCAAAAGAGTAGCTGGCTGAAGCATAATGCAAGAGGGCGGAGAAGAATAGGAATAATGGTCAAAATTTGTGGGGTCCACTGCAGTTGACTGAATGAACTGGCACTGGATGTCTGTAGAGCTGGAGTTGAAATACTAGGGTGACGAGCAGATGCGGGGCAGGGGAGCCGACTGGGAGGAAGTGGTGATGAGCTGATTGCAGACTGGTGTGCAGAAGAGCAGAGCTGGGAGCCAGGAGGGAGCCACACACAAACAGACAGCAGCATAGGGGAGGGGAAAACACAAGAAACAGCAGGGATAATTCAGGTGTACGGCCGTAGCAATGACAATTAGTCTTTCATCTGGACCAAACTAAATGGCTGGCCAACCTGCCTGTCTACCTACTAAGCTGGCTACCTCTGCACACTCTGCTACTCATTGTGGGACTCTGGAGGTAGATCTGAAGGGAGGGGGTGGGATTTTTTTCAGTTGGATACTTTCAAAATCTATTCATCTCTTGCTAGTTTCTTCAACATTACCTACCCTAGCTTTAATGAACCAAGTACATGGAGATTGCTACCTGAACAGATTTCACAGAGAGCCAATGGATTCATTGGTAGTTCAGTTTTTGACACTCTGCTAAAATCACATATTTCCTATCATAAGATCTTATGGTTAGTTTGCTTTCAGAGACCGCCCTTTCTTGGCTATCTCATCCCGCTGGTTTTGTCCCACATCCAAGTACAGTTGCTGTGTTTGCATATTCCCAAACGGAGTAAACACTCTTGGTGTGAAAACAACTTGCAATGAGACATCAATACACCAAAAGACTGGAAGGTCCATTTTGACTCAAAACACAATGTATACAGTCTACAGTCATCTAGTAAAGCTATTGACAAATTTATCTTGGTGATGATCAGTTAACATGAATAATGCAAGGACAAATACTCCAGGGTGTTAATGGCTGTACATTTACAATAAAAAAAACTTTTCTATAACAAATACAAAGCAGCCTCTGGAATGATGACAACTATCATGTTGCGCTGAAATGATCCACCCGCTGAATTACACAGTGAGAGAAAGTGGTCATTATGCTGCTGTTATGCCAGATGGGTTTGGACAGCCTGCTTGCTATGTATTTTGCAATGCATAGAATACATGATAGCCAGGCAGATGATACTGTACATCTGTTTCCAGTTAGAGATGATTATGATGTATAGAGACTCAGGCATTATGGAAAAGTGCTGCATTTGTGTTAGCTGAAGTTATTATACAAAAGAGGCACATTAGCAGAAAGGATGTGTTTGTATAGTCGAATGAAAATTGTATGAATTTAACTTTATTTTTTGTGATTTAAATTGTATTACTTTTTTCCACTGTTATTTCTGAGTTAGATGATAATATTAATAACCTTCCATTTGCTGGCTGCTGGCTACAGCTAGATAGCTTAGCTT